GCGATTTCTTGGAATTGTTTATTTATAGCTGTGTATCTCTTGAAACACGGAAACGCTTCGTGCTTTAAACATCTATGTATGGCAGCTAAATATGATAAAAAAAATATATAAATATTTGTAAAATCGCCGAGACCTTTATAATTGCTTCTCGTAGCTGTGCCATCTAGTAGCGGCTTACCGAACTAAAAAAAAATGACTGAGATTTTAGAGCATTTTCTTTTCATCAGAGTCAAACACTGATTTCATAAACAGAAAATATGCAACAATATAATGATTTTAGTACGTTAACTGAGCGCAAAACTGAAGTAGGGTTACAGTGAATGCATGGATGACTCATCGATGTGTGTATGTGCGTGTGTGTGGAGGAACTGAAGCTGTTAAACATTTTATTCAGAATCATTGGTTTTATATTTCACATACATTTTGAACCCCTTCTTGCATATATATATATGTGTATATATATATATATATATATATATATATATATATATATATATATATATATATATATTTACGTATATGTATATAGATAGATAGATAGAGATAGATAGATAGATATAATGGCAGTGCTATTGTCATTAGTGTGCGCATCATATATACATCATCTTATCTCTCTTACAATTATTATTTCATATATATTTTTTGTAACGCACATACCTTTTTTTCTTTTCTTTTTTTAATCCCTGATTAACTGATGTCATTAGCATCATATTAGCTTCACCTCTCACCATTGTATTAATATGAAATCGTGCTTGCACTCCGAAACTCTGGTAGTGCCAAACTGCCCAATTACTCCTAGCACACTGTTTGAGCTGCACTGACTCTTAAGCCCCCCATTCACGCTACGTAAAATAGCTACGGTTCAAGTATGGTTCAGTAAAACTGTGCAGTTAATGTAGCGTCAGTGGGGCTTTTTTTGGTTTGCGCAGTTGGACGGAACCATAACATAACAATATCCAACGTGTTTGATATTTTCGCGGCTTGTGGCTGTACCATAACGCAGACCATAACCGTGTGTGGGTGTTTTCACCCAATTTGCTCAGTTTTGGCGAAAGGAAATCGTGAGCACGTGTTTAGCTGAAAAATATATTTGCTAATTTCGTTTATCTTTTTTAATTAATGGAGTCAATAGTGATAACAATTCTGAGTAAGTTTGCTCATCCATTCTCAAGTAATTGAAATAATCAACAGGTTCCAAACGAAGTTCATTTAACAATCCTTCATGCGATAAGCTATCCCTCTTCAAAAGCCATGGCTTGCACCATCTTGACTTTTTTTTCTTTTTTCTTTGTAATGTAAGTGCCAGCGCTACATGTACTAAATCGTCCGATGAAAAACAATCAGAGAGAGACATCTTTCCGATTCAAAACGTTGTGAAAACTGAGCAAAAGAATGTAACGTGAGTGGCCTACCCACTCGGGCATAGGTTTGTGCAGTTGACCATACCATAACCCTACCATTGCTAAAGACTGTAGCGTGAATGGGGGGCTTTACAGTTAACTCGGAGCGTCCAAGGACATTTTCATTATATCGTTCTGAGGGAGGATTACCAGAAAAAAAATTTGTAATGGCCGACGAATTACCGGACATCATCACCACACTCATCAGAGAAGTAGATTAGGATGCACTAATGGTACATTGTGCTTATAGCTATGAACATATATAAATAAATGTGTTTATGTGTGTGTATGTGTACACACACACACACACACACACACACACACACACACACACACACACACACATATATATATATATATATATATATATATGTGTGTGTGTGTGTGTGTGTGTGTGTGTGTGTGTGTGTGTGTGTGTGTGTGTATGTGTGTGTGTGTGTGTAAATAGAACAACGAAGGGAAGAGCAAGAAAAACACGAATATGTCGAGGGCCTTTCACATGATGCCCCAAAGAAGCAATGCAGTGAAAAGGCCTTCGGCATATTCATGTTTTCTTGTTCTTTCCTTCATTGTTCTATTTGCATTTTTGTTCGACATGAATCCCACGTGTGTGTGGCAGTTCTCAGCGACACATCAATAGTAATTCTCTATCAAGAAAACAAATAGGAAGACATCTTTTAAAAAATGCACGAGGTAAATCACTTTGATTCGCCTAGAGGCTTTGGTATTACAATTGCCATGCAGCTCTCTTATAACAAGAAGGTCAGAAAATTACCACCTCACTTACTTACCTACCAAGCTTTAAAAGAGTATCCCCAGGCCCAAATAGGATTCGATAATAGATGGCACTTAAATCATTATACCATGAACATGCTAGAATTGTACAATGACATCTATAATAGCCATACTTTTGCATTCCAATGACATTTCGGTCACATTATTTTCATTTCGAAAGGGTGGGGAAATCCTAGATCGTATACTTTATACCGCCCACTTGTGTTTCTCATACAAGGTCATGAAAAGAATCATTACAGTTGTCTAATTTTGTCCAGAATTTTTTCTAGTTGCTTAACAGAAGGAGTTTCGAAAGGGACGATAAACCCGAACAGCAAGTGAAACGAATAGTCATAATCTTGAGGCATTTGCTAAAATACATTATTTTCATATCAGTACTTTCGACTGTAGAAAAAAGCCCATGATTATGTCCCATGTTGATGTACATACACAGAAAAAGTTGTTTTCGGATCATGGGTAAAATATGCCTTGATTTATTCAGTACCTATTACTAATAAAATGTTTCTGTCTGATTGTTTCATGAAAAAGTTACTAATTCAGACCTACAAGGAAGTGTCTTGTCACCAACATTACTTCTATGTTGTTTTACGTCGTTAAAATGGCAGCTGTGACACACTGACGGGAATACTTTGCTTCAGCATTTGCGCTTCACCACAAGTAGGTATATATATGGCTCGTATTTAGTGAAAGTAAAGCTATCTTTTGTAGCGTATGAAAATCTAATGCGTTTGAAGTTTGCTCTTCATAAACGATGATTGGCTGCTGAATGCACTGCCAAGCATAGGACGAATTAGGAAAAAACCTTTACTTCACTTAGTACTCTCAAGTATCAATAATAACATAACACGGGTGACCACTCAAGAGTCAAGACTACCTCATTTATTTTACTTGAAACAGTGGTCAAAAGACCTTCTGTCTTTCTTGGTTATACAGTTCATGGTCACAATGTCTTTCTTCATGTTCTTAAAAAATTCACTTTCTTCCATTGTCCTCAATTCAAATATTGCTCTTGGAAGTCATATGGCCCAGTAGGGATATTCATATATCTTCATTAAAGTTCTTTATTATGGGAATTGAAATTCACCTGTACAAGGAACCTACCGTTTCACTTTTGTTTCAAAATCAAAATTCTCTTCCACCTGATCGTTAAAGACTTCTTAGATGATTTTCATTTTTTTTTTTTTTTTTAATAATAAAAGTCATTGCCTTCTCTCAAGGCGCAAAATTTGGTTACTTATGTATGCAATTGTCCATTGACGAGTTGGTCTTAGAGTTGCCACGAGTCGTCCCTCCTCCTTAAGAAAGAGAAGTGGTAGCCAGGGGATCAGCTATACTGGACTTCAGATCAGGTTCAAACCCCGAGCCTGAACCTGCTAGCATGAAAAGACCCAGGTCAAAGTCTGCAAAAGTTTAGGTAGACGTGTGCTACAAATCTGAGGTGACTTAAACTACTATAACTGAATGCTGCCTGCAGAAACAAAATACTAACGTGCAGGTAAAGCACTAAAAAATGTAGCAAAGGTCTATACACGATTACTCTGTTTACTTAAAAAAAATAACTAAAGACTCCGGACTTCTGCGTAGTTCAAGTGACAATTGATTTTGATTTATAGTTGCTGCAATTAGAAAAATGTTCGATCTGTTTGATGCTTCATACATGGGTGCCGAGTTGTCTTTACAAAAGTTTCTAGCATTGTGGTCCCCAATAAATTTGAGGCTCCATCACCTGTAAAACTTTAAGTCATGTAGATACTGAACAATTTGTGAATACAAATTTTCACCTGTGCATCATTTTGAAACTTATCAAATTAATCGAGCATACCAAAACATTGAGCTGGGACAATATAGGAATTCATGGTACTCATGTCATGATAATACACAAATATAGTGATGGGGGACAAGATACTACCTTGTAGTACTCCATTCGCCTGGATAAAAATGTTCAATAAAGTGACATTGTCAGAGAACAATTTGATAGAGAAAGTCCTGTCAGAAACTATATTTCTAAGAGGACTGACAAGTTTCAATGTAATCCAAAAGGATAAAGTTTCCTGAGTAGGCCATATCGCCAGGCAAACACCTCGTGAATATGACTTTCTAGGTTTATTAATTAATCAAAAGTTTGGCGTCCGTTTCGGAAGCTGCATGCTCGTCCACTAACAAATGTCTGGAATTTAGAAAATGCAATAGCTACTGTTAACAATTTGCTCCATGACCTTGCATAAGCAACTTATCAATGCAATGCAATAGTAGGCAATAGCGGATCTGGGATTTCCCACTCCGTTCAATATGGGAGTGGTCTACACAAAGTGCCAAGCGTTTGGAAAGACTTTTTTTCGTTTTTTTCCTAACATCATTGCACATTTACTCATTGTACCATTATCAAAATATTTTATCATCTTATATCGAATATCATCAGGGCCTGGGGACGTTCCTCTACAGCTTCTAGGGCTCGGTCAAGTTTAATATTTGTCATATCTTGATTGTAACCAAGGTCATCTCCTGTGGCAAAGTGTAAAGGTTACAGCTCAGTCGCTTCCTTGGTGTTCAGGAATGTGCGATGGTAATTATCTGAGGCGCTTGTATATGAGAACTGTCTGGTGAGTCTCTAGGTGAATCGAAATTTGTTCCCTCATGGATGTTTTTAATTTTGCAAAATATTTTTTTCCCAGTGAACTAAACCTGTGATATATATAGAGTATTAGTTCTCGTTAGTTTGTAATTGCGAAAGCTATCGTTATTGATGTTATTTTTGAAAAGTCCTATTTCATTCACACAGTACCTTGCGGCATTCTGGTCTCCATCATGGAACTGTGGTAGATGGGTGTTGTTTTGTGTCAGATTAAGTAAATCTTCAATCCGAGTTATTTTGTACTTTAACAAGCAGGCTTCGGTCTCGCATTTTTTAGACAAAATCAAAATCGCCTACTACTTGACCATCAACGAACTTTTTATTTATTATGTGATTGATTATCGATTACGCACTTAACATCGTGAACCCTGCATTCTCCGTGGGAATTCTGAAAGGAGGTCGTCTGGATCTGCCTTAAGTGGGGTTTCCACTGTCCACAGTCGAGTAGGTCGTAGAGCGCTCATGGGTCGTCCCTCTTGTTTGAGGAGAAGGGCAATCATTTATTCTGGGTTTCAGCCTAGGACCTTAGGGACCAGAAAACTCTATTATCAGCCAATCAACAATAGCTAAGAGAGTGTGTGGTATTATGTGCCCTCTATCCCCCCAGTGGAAGCCTGGTTGTATACCAAAGGGGAGAATTGAGTTATGTGGTAGACACCTCCTTATCACTACTTACCTTGGCGAATACGTGAACACGATAGCCCACAAGGGATCTCCGACAGGTTCAGAAAAGTCACGTAAAAAGAGGAAAAGAATTCAGATAACGAGTGCGCCTAGAGGACCCCCAGACTACTGGGCCTCCCAATCCAGGCTTAAAAGAGCGTTGCGGGTCTGAGGTGGGGTGCTGACTACGCCTACTGTGGTCTCGTGTTATTGAAGGGGCAGGCAAAGCACTAGAAAGTGCTAAAATTACGTAAATGCAGTTTTAGTTTATTTTAATTTTACGTTCGGGACTCCAGGGTATCTCTTGTGACACATTGTGACATATTGTCTTGCCATTGTCAGAGAAAGAGAAATGGTCAGTAATATTCATCCAAACTTTTAATATCGATAGTAATGATATAAAACTGAAATAGTTTCTAAATATTTAATTATATATACAATGTGAAGAATGTTAAATGCAGCAAATACTAACATTTTGAAAACAATGCTGACCCACGGTAGCGCCAATGATGCCATACAAAATTCAATTAAACCATTGATGGGTGGCATGGTATATAATTGCAAATATGACAGGGGTAGCCTATCACACGATATCGAAAAGAAATGAATGTGAAGAGGACAATGCAGTACACGCACTAACTTCTGATGCATACCAGCTGGATGAAATTTCAGCTTAAACTCAAACTTAAAGCAAAAGCTATGGAAAAACATCTGGAATTCAACATGAAACTGATAGAAATGACGGTTGTCAAGATATCCATTGTAATTTCTATGGCAAGAAAATGAAAATGCATACTCTGTAATACCTTTGTTTTCATGCTAAAGCGAAGAATAACATATTTTCCGTATTACGCAAAATTTCTGGTAGAAATGATCCATCCCAACCACGTCATTACCACCTGCAGTGCGTGCAGTATGGCCACAGAAGGGAAATACCACAGCCCAGGTATTGGAGTTTCCTACACTTGTTTACAGATTGCACTGAATGGCTTTGGTTTTCCTGCTGTTACCATTATTACAGTCCGTGTGTAAGCCACGAAGAATTGTTGAGATATCCCTTACAGCACCCAAATACTGAATAGAAAATGTATTCAAAGTATCAACTCTTAATTTGATGTAGTAACGAAGAAAATTTGTTCCATGAATTCACTGATAGCGATGTCACATATTACTTGCAACGGTTTTTTCAACAACACATGCACGGAATATTCATATTTAAGAAAAGGCATCAGCCACCAGATGACTGCTGTTTGATTACGAACACAAAAAAGTTATGCAATGTTTTCTCTATTTAGCTATAGAAGTACTTGCAGTATTATTCATTACTTACATTTTTTTAATATTAATTTCTAGGATTACAATCAATACGTATTTTGTTTAAAGATATGATTTAATACGTACTTGTTATCTGTGTCTTGGTAAATCTGAGTTTTTTTAAAGCATGGGCGTCAAGGGTATAAGAAAAATAATACTTCTCTCCATTGTTATATTTTTTATTGCTTGTTTCACACAGACAATTTACCTTCTATTACTTGGTTGTGAGAAACTAAAACTATACCGTATTTTCTGTCGTACAATTCACAAAAGGCAAAATTTACCATGTACCATACAGCTGTGTGAAGCTGGCACTGTATCCAACTTTGTCGTACTGATCCGTCTATCTGTTAATATTTTTAACTGTAGTAACAATTTACAGCCAAATGAAAATTCAACATTTTTTCAATATAGTTCCCCTTACAGTTTAGTAAAGAAAACGTTCAAACAAGAAATAACTCTGATAAATTATCACACATTTTTATGGCAAATTCTGGCCTCAAATCCTCATTAATGCGAATAATATACTAATGGTTCTTACTGACCCTTAGGAGCATTTCAAAGATAGGATATACTTAGCACAATACAACGTGCGAATAACATTATTGTGTTTTGAAGTATTATTACTAGCCTGTGAATTGTCATATTGTTGTCATCGCTAACCTGTTAATATATCCTAAATCATTACAAACATCGCTACAATAAGAAAATTAATAAATACTTTTAAAAAACGGAGTGCGGTATTGATTGTTTGTGTTCCATGTAAAATTTGCACATTCTAGTCAATTTGATTATGAAAGTGGGTAAAATTTTCATTGGTCACAAGTTTAACAGTATGTGTATTTTTCAAAACATTTGTATTTGCTTGTCTATAGTAAGCACTTTATTGCGCAGTAAAAATAAATAATAACAAAAATGAAATGATTAAAGCACATGAATTTTCTCCACCAAACTTTTTTAACTTGGCAATATTTTCAACGAGGCTAGTGACCATTATATAAAATAGGTTATAAACAAATATGTAACATGTTTACCACGCACATATGCTGTTCTTTTATTGAAAATCAAGCAACATCATGTCAGCTTAATGTTGAAAGTGGGTAGTGTTGCTTAGCTGCCATCTTAAGTGTCTTCCTTAATTTCCAGACACGTATCGTATTTTTGCCCCGATTACCATTGGGATTTTACATTTAATGTATATGTCTACACCTCGACGATAGTAATCGAAATGTAATTTTTCTATCCCTATTTTTTTTTCTCTATCTCATGTGGTTTTAACTGGATATACAAATGTCTTTGCATCACGCTTTGTCAGGAGTTCGGAGCCTTTTTTTTTTTTACTACCACGTTTCCATTCCTCCACATCTCTGAATAAAATTCCATCCCAGATTTTAAAGAAAATTATTCATATGCAATTTCATTTACAGGAATTTTGGTTTTCTACCTAAGCCTATCAGATCACTTACTGTGTACGTGTCCCCGAACGGTAAATGTTCCACAGGTTGGGAACCCCAGGCTGAGATGACAAGAAGCATGTATAAGTGTACACTTACACCTTGGGTTTATGTGTGTATGAGAGGGAGTTTACAAAGTTTCAACAGATACCGCATAGATATCATATTTACACGATCTCTGAACAGATCCAACTATGTTGAAAAAAAGATATCTACCTTAAGGCATAGGAGAAACATTGGCCAAACATTGGAAACGTTCCCACGAGGCACTATTTTCTGTAAATCCAAACCGAATATACACAATTACCTGGAGATAGATCACACTAGCCCGTTTTTTTGTTTTGTTTTTTTTTTTTTTTTCTTTTTTC